GAATTCCTCACCAGTGTGCATCCACAATCCTGCAAGCGAGATTCAAACCGAGGTTCTTCTATTTTGTGTGTGAACACCTTACCTCTAGACAACTGATCCGGTATCCAAACTGAAAAGCGAATATTGTTCAACAGGATGTCATTTTCAAGGACTGAACAGCTTATTCTTATCATGTATGAAAAGTTCGACGTGTACTGCAGTTTATTGTTAGCTGATACGAAACCTATACATCATCCCAATTGCTTCTAACTAGATAACTTTAACAATTTAACATAATTCAAATAAAAAATTAACATGAAACCTGATCCCACAGTCAATATAAGTAGAGCAAAAGTTTACAACTGACAATTAACTGGCATATAGTGTTTCTTTACAAACATACACATAATAAACCCATTAAATATGTTCAGCTAGATAGAACTTAATTCTGTTGTGTTTATTACCGAATTTCGAATAGAAGCAATAACTGGTTGTATGGAATTATGAGTTTAGTTATTCAGTAAGAGACGGCACTAGTTGATATGATTTTTCTCAATCATTAAATTAATCAAGGTTGGATTGTGTACTTGCTTTCAGTGTTCAGTGATCATAAAGAAACTGTTAATCTTGTATTAATGTATTGGTGAATACTTAATGTGTTGCAACTAATTTTAGGTAGTGACCAGTGGAGTTCAACCAGGTCTGTTATGAGATATCAACTTATTGAAAACATTGGTGAATGGTTGCTCAATATCGTGTATTGGTTGAAGTGAGACATTAACACCGTTGGATGCCGGCCAGCTCAGTGGTCTAGTGGTTAAGCACTCGTGCGCGAGACTGATAGGGCCTGGGTTCGAATCTCGGGAGGCAAAGTTGTGGATGCGCACTGCTGAAGAGTTCCACAATAGGAAGAAATGGTCATCCAGGTTTTTCATGATGGTCTAGCTTCAATTGACTCATGATTTCAACTATATAAAACTAATAAAATCTCCACAAAACCCCCTTTTATGAATACCGAATATGTTGCAACTAATTTTAGGTAGTGATATAAAAACAGGGAATATGTTTATCTCTTCTAAGCTACAGTGTTAATATGTTGCATTAATTTGAATATATTCCCTATTCTGATTCCATCACAATACACTTTGTCTAATGATAATCCAAATAACTATTCAACGAACATGAAGAAGCCTTAGGCTGTATATGGAGTTTTATGAATAAAACCAAGTTGATTATAAGCAAAGATGAACAGTGGCTAGTAGTGGAATCCAGGACACGCGTTTCGTCCTATTTTGGACTGCTAGCCACTGCCTGTCTTTGCTTATAATGCTCGTGAATTGAAGCTATATCGAGGCAATATGCACAGTATGCTTATGTTGCCAATGAGAGACTGACCAGTTGCAGTCCTAGACATTAATGGGAAGATTCAAACAAACAATACCAAGTAAATTAAAACCAAGTTGATTTGCACAAAATACATTTTTTTGGGTATGTACATCATACTGATACAAAACAATAATATATATACAATCATCTTGATCAAATAAACGATCTTTTCACTCATCATAAACTTTCATCGACATTTGAATTCCTTATAATTCCGGCGTGTAATCTGTTTGTTATCATGTAAACACAGTTAGAATTAAAGGATAAACTAGAAAGTTCTTAATAAAGTACTCACAGATGAAGAATCAGTATGTCATATTCGTTGAACAAGCGATAACAATCACAACTCAATAGTTTTACAGAGAATTACATTTCATTTTGAAGCTGATTCATGAATGAAAGCGTTGATGAGGACATTCTCTGTGATACTAATAGACTTACCACATGTCGACGGTTATTGAAAGTAATGAAGCACTAGGCTGTTGTTATATTCAAGTTATGAATCTTCGTTAGCAGTGTATATTCATAATTTCTTGGGGAGATGTTAGTATGATCGTCACAGCCGATGTATTAAGCAAACTGTCTGAATAGGTTAACAGTCTTCATAAAATCTTTTATAAAAATGATTCTTGAGATTTGTTTTGATGGATATACATAATAGTTATATTGTTAATAATAATCTACATTGATTGACTGTAATTAATAACGCTTCCCTAATTAAAATAACTGCTGGTTAGCGTTTTTCTGGCGAGTTGTTTTTCTACGTGATGGGGTCGCTAACCCCATGCCCAACCCTCCTCATTTACTCGGGCTTGTGACCGGCAGTAGCCCGCGGAGGAGCTGCAGGTGGAGTTAGTAAATAACTGCTGACTATCAGTAATTTTGAACGAAACCACAGCATCTTAATGGTCACGTATTAATTAGTGAGTGCATAGATATGCCTTACTTAGAAATTCTTGCTGCTTAAGTGGGAATCCTACGAGAAATAACCATTTCCATAAATGACTTCTCTTATGTTGTCTTATAACTTTAACAACTGTGTTAGTATGGATTATACCTCAACATTACTTCAATATTAAGACCGAAGATCTGAGAAAAAATCATTCAAAATTAAGTATCAGAAGAGGTTTTGTGGAGATTTAGTATTCTTCATGGTTGAAAGCGTGAGTTAATTGAAACTAGACCACCATGGAAAAGCTGGAAACACTGGAAGGCCGTTTTGTCATATTATGGGACTCCTCAGCAGCGCATACCCACGAACCCACACTCGCGAGATTCGAACCCAGGACCTACCAGTCTCGAGCCGGAGCCCTGAGCTGGCATCCAACGGTGTTAATGTCTAACGTCAACTGATCCACGAAGTTGAGCAACCATAATAGGACGAAACGGCCGTCCAGTGTTTCCAGGTTTTCCATCGTGCTCTAGCTTCAACTGACTCACGCTTTCAACTATAAAATTAATTGCTTATGATGTTGAAAAATCACTTTGAACTACACAGACTCTCCAGGTTCACTGAAAATCATAAGGTTATTCAATATTTTCGGTCCTCCAGTGTAACCACACAATAACTAACATCAGATTTGGAATCTCATGTTATGAAACTAAAAGTTACTCTATCTTGTTCCTGATTGATTCGGTTGAATGGCATAATTCAACAACCGCTATCATAGTAAACTGTAAAACTATTTTTCTTATTTCAAACCAATCCTATTTGAAATAACTTTCATAATAACTTAGAAAGTTAGATCATCCGACTCAAAATTGTATTCGGATCAGAAACCTGATCCTAACAATCTTTGATTTCCTATGGAGTTATATAAGAATAACCATAAAAATGATTATTTATTCGATCATACAATCGAAATAAAACTAAACTGTATTTCATTTTTCGATTTTTCTAGATCATAAATTTGATATACAATTAATTCATAGGGTACTGTTCAACTTCTATGTTCTACCATAAAGCTTATCATTGAGATGAATAATAAGCTTTCAATAGAACGGTTCCTATGGATGATGACTTGATTTGATAGGTCTGTTTATAGATTTCAGATTTATTTAATATTATATTTTTTTGGTACAATATAGAATTCTCAGCACAAAGTATTTTAACAATTTTCCGTTTCTTACTTCTTCCTCCTTCCTGACGATAAATATTCAGTGATCGCCAGCTAGAACTTAGCAGTACAGTCCATAGACACCTGAATAATGTATATTCTTTTCGCTGAATATTCCCAGCAAACAAGATCTTTCTGATTAGGCGTATTGTAACCTTTAAAGCGAAAGGTTGTACAGTTTTCAGAAACGTACCTGAATAGGTTATGCGATTAATAGCCATAATGATGTATTAAAATAAACAAATTTACATAACTTGTTAAAATATCTTGATAGCAGGAACAGGTAGACCAGATGATTAAGCAGGCCGCCTATTTTACTTTATACTTCAGGAACATACTGAACATCTTCAATTCAATGTATTGTTCATAACTGATCTTTGTCGAATCTTAGAATTTCCAATACCATGAAACGATTAGGCTTTTTTTAATCCTAACTTCATTTAATCCTTTCTCAATTAGAACCTTTATTGTCTCATATAGTACAACAAATTATTGAACAATGATAAAGATATTTTAAGAAATCATTCAAAAACATAATAGCCATATACTATTATATATATAGACTCTTTCCTTGAAAAAAGCTTGGGCCAGATTGCCAGGCAAAACGTTGGATTTACTTCAAATTCATTCGCTGAGATATTACAAATATTTGATTCTTATATAATGTCTTACATCAACTCGGCGCCCAGATACTGTGAAGCTATTCGCTCACTGTTGGGATGATCCTGCAAATTTCTTGCAATAGATATAAGAAGCTCAGGAAACATTAAGAAGCATTTTATCCAATCAGCGTTTGATTAAACGTTTTGCTAGAAACATCAGGAAAGTGTAAAGTCACATGTAGAGTTCCTAATTGGCTGATTAATATGTTACTGTTATTATGTTTAGTAGTATTCTAGAAGTTTCAGAAAAACCCTAGGACTTCTAAAATACTATAAAATCCTTATATTTTTCTGTACATAAACGAACCTTTGGTGTAAAGTGCTTCCCGGATATTTTGTATCTTTTCTCTCGTGTTCAAGTCGCTGTGTAGTTCTAGCTTCGGGGTTACGAAATTAGCTTAGGATCCGAATATAGCGTTCAACCAGTAAGACTTATCACTTTCATTTATATTATCAGTTGTTTCCAAGCATAAATAAACACTTCATTATTGAATGATACAACCATTTATTTATTTAATAATCACAATATTTATAATAAAATCACACACACACACACACAAAACATGAAAGATCTTTTGATGACTGATGTACAGGAGGAGGAAGAAAAAGAAGAAGAAGAAAAAAAATCGTTTCTTTTTTTAAAATTAGCATTAACACATAAATGAAAATACTGGCAAGAGCAATAAAAAACTCACAAATGTTGATGAATACATTAACAAAAAAATAAAAGAACAAAATATGTCGAATGATTATGTATCCATGGTAACACATACATGTACAACCCCCATCGATATCTCTTCTATGAAATAGATAACAGTTTATGAAGTACCATACTACTGAAAAACTCTTCAGTGAATTAACCAGAACTATTATTATTATTATTATTATAAATCACTAATGGTTTATGATTAGTATCTATGCTTAAATCATTCTCTGATAAATGACGTAATGATCTTGGTGCTGTACGTCTAGATAAGATTAATGTATCTGTACCATAATCTGTATAGTAATAATCATTTATTCGTTTAAATTTACATTTAATAATATTCATTACTTGTTTTTTAAAACTAGTACAAGTTAAAAAATAAATAAAAAAATTACATGCATAATGTGATGCACATAATGCATCAATTAAACCTTTTGTTGTAATCCGTTGAAAGAATATAGTCCATTCATTAGATTGTAGGATTACATCATCATTTAAACAATCATCTGGTTGTAACCAATGAAATTGTATTAAATAGACAATACCAGTTGGTACTGTACATGCAATTAAATAAAAGGATAGAATGATTAACATTAATGTAGCTGATATAAATTGTGTTGATTCCTTGTTTGAATTATTATTATTATTATTATCCATAGAATTCATTCGAGATGTTTTAGTTGGACTAAAATTTGGTGTACCAATTGATTCATTATGTTTAGAATAGATACTACTTATATGTTTATGATCATTTATATCATTAGTAGTATTATTATTACTACTTATTAAATTATGAGTAGTATTAGTAGTAATAGGAGTATTGGATTTCCTTTGTTTAAATAATTGTTTATAATTTATACGTTTATATGTTAATCTACTATTATCATTATGAGTAGTATTCATAGATGATGATGATGATATATTAGTATGATATTTGGGTATTTTTAATAGATGACTTGATTTAATTAATCGTCTCATTTCACATAATACAAGAATATTAAATATTAATGTAGCTAATGGTATAACTAATGAAAATACCACCTCTTGTACAAATAATAATGTTTGAAATCTTTCATCCATAGCAACATGAATACGCATACGACATTCACCATTATCATATGTCCATAATACAGCTTGGGATAATGTTGGTCCAATAATGAATAAAGATAAAATGACAACAGCCAACACAGCTCTTTGTGTTGTACATAATTTATGTCGTTTAAATGGGAAACATACAGCCAGGTAACGTTCTAATGTAAAACCAAATACTAAAACTATAGAATAATATTGTGTAAATATAAATAAACATTGAAAAATTTGACATATACCTGGGATAATTGTCACCCCTCTTACACACCAATAACGTTCTAAATCATAATTAATTAATAATAATATGAGGATAAGATCAGTTATGGATAATGTTGCCAAATAAATAGCTGAACTATTTTTACGTCTTTGTTGTTTTGATATCCATATTAAAAACGATATAATATTACCAAATATTCCGCTTAGTAACCAAATTAACATAAAAATTCTTACAATATATAAAAAAATTGGCATAAATTTTCTTTGTAATTCACATTGGGGATAACGATCAAATATAGAAATTGGATTAAGATTAGTTTGATTTAATAAATAACGTATAGTACAATTTAAATGTATAGTATCATTTAAATCTGTCATAGTTTTTTTGTATTGAAGGTTATGGATTTTTAGTTGTGTGGTTGTTGTACGAATGATGACTAATGAATCCTAACCGATGCGATCATACCTAAATGGAAACAAATGGCAAGACAATAACAATGCAGTTATTATATATTGTCAAATGAGTAGTTAAAAGTTAAAAAACAATCTGATATTAACTATATAGTAACAACTTTGAATCCATCTCTCGAACGAAATCAGTTTACGGAGGGGGGGCTGAGTCTTATAAAACTGGTTAAAGAACAGTATAAAAAAGAGAGAAAAATTATAAAACATGGATAATACAGTTTTGTATTAGGCTTTTTTACATAGTTGAGATCATCAGACAGTTGAAGCTAGACCACCATGAAAACCTGGAAGCATTGGACGACCGTTTCGTCTTGTTGTGGGACTCCTCAGCCGTCCAGTGCTTTCCAGGCTTTACATGGTGGCCTAGGTTCAATTGACTGATGATCTCAAATATATAAACAAATTACTAAAACCTCCACAAAACCCCCTTTTGTATCAGGTTGTTTGAATCTTCTCCATTAATGTTCATTTGATCAGTTTATTTTGGTAATATCTACTTTGTCTTGAAGTGAATATCAACTTAAGGATTTAGGTACATCAATTTAATATATTCTAAATAGAACTAAATATTCATTTTGAATTTCAATTCTAGCTACCATTCATCTTTAATTAAAACATGAATAGGCATTCTAATGGTAAACGAGTTTGTCATATCTTTTAAAAGATATAAATGACAAGTTGATTGACCGTAGTGAATCCTAACCGGTGCAAGATACCTTCACTCGAACAAAATCAGTTTACGGGGGAATTTTATAAAACTAAAATCAGTAATATGAACATTAATGTTTTAAATTTGAGTAGGTCAACTTAAAATTAATGAACAAATGTCAAATTACACACCACTTGAATAATTTATCTGGTTAGTGTTTTCTTAGCGAGTTGGTTTTCTACTGGATGAGGTTGCTAACCCCATGATCAACCCTTCTCTTTTATCTGGGCTTGGGACCTGCAGTAACCCCCAAAGGAGCTACCACATTCATATACTCACCTAAAAATAATTTCCAAAAAGTTGAGTACCTTTCTATGTAGGAACAATGGTTGAAGGAGTTTAAACATGTCAAGAGTGAAACGATCATCATAGCATCCAGTAAACGACAGTCATTCAATCATACTAATTGACTAAAGTTCAATCAAATAATTCAGACTAAGTAGTATGAAGGGTGTCTGCTCATCGAGAGAACCAAATGTACGAAGTTGACCTAATTAGAAACTTTTTATATAAAAACAAAACAACTGTTAAATATTATCTGGTTATCTAATTAGTGCGGTTTATGGATGAAAATCGAATTCATGTTGCATAAACTTCAAAAACTATACCCTGCTTGCTTTCATAGCATGAAAGTTTGTCAGAAATTATATCTTCAAGCTAGGTCCTAACGTGTCACCAACTTGAAATCTGCATACCTTTGTAGATTTTTGATAACTTGTAGAGGTATCTAGTTAGTTGATAAAAATAAAATCAGTAATTACTTATCAACTATGTATATACAACATGTGCAGTAAAGCGTTTTACTATGAGAAATTTGTAATCAAAAGCCATCAGTCATTTGTATAACGATTGAAAACCTGTGGTGTAGTCTACTTATATCCACCTAAGTAGTATATGGTGATGGTCAGATATAGAATGTATTTTGGCAGAAGGTCGATAAGGAAAGAACAGGAATGAAGCGCAATCGGTACGAAAATGCATAAACAATGAAATCAGAAAAGATGGACTGATATTTACAGACAATTTATTGATAGTTCGCAAAATTAACTGTTTACTGTATGTTTATCAGAATTAAGTGAGATAGACTGTAATTTGTGTTTGTGTGCATTCGTTTGTTCCCACTCATGTTCTCGTTTACTATAAGACTGATAATATTCACTTGAACCCCTAAAAGTTAGGTAGTAACAATCTCACCATTGAACTAATGTACTTTTCTAGGCAAAGTTGCCCCCATGTTGAATATTTATTCCTTAATTTCTTATGATTTTTTTTCTGGTTAGCGTTTTTTAACGAGTTGGTTTTCTACGGGATGGGGTCGCTAACCCTATGCCCAACCCTGCTCCTTCACCCGGGCTTGGGATCGTCAGTAGCCCTCGGAGGAGCTACAAGCGGAGTTTTCTTATATGAAAAGACTGTTGATACTGCTTGCAGTTACGCTGTGATAGGATTGATACAAAAAATCTTCATAATTACTCTTTACTAGTGTATTAACTGAATGACTTTATATGTTACTGCATAGAAATTTACATTTATAAAAGGTTTTATTTATTCATACAAATCAGTCTATACGTTAAAAGAAAATGATGTAATGAATTCGCTTTATCCTATAATACTTCACCTGTATGTCATCTAGATGTATTACTGTTTCCAAGCCCGGGTAAAGAAGGACGGTTGGGTATGGGGTCGATAATTCCATCCTGTAGGGAAAAACTCCTGGAAATTGCTAAAGTATTTGTAAAAATGATTGTAATGAACGTCGTTTTCTTCACTGAACATATTATTATTGGTTTACTCATTTGATATCAAAATGAGAAAGAAATCACAAAAATAAAAGAATAACTAGACTAAATAGTTACTAAGTAAATTAAGGTGTTGACGTAAGATTAAAAAGGTTTTCATGATTTGAATTATCACTTCAACTATTGAAATTAATAATACACTTGTGATATACCAACTAGTTACAAAGTGGTTACACCCTAAATCAACGATAATCTCTCTCTCTCTATAAATATATATGACCTATCTGTGTTAATGGACTAACAACAATGATTGTGCTCTTCTCATTACTTAAAGCGAGCAATATAAACTACTTTAATTGAAATTTCTTTCATTTTATTCAGTCTATTTGTATGTACACAAATGAATCTAGATTAGACAACATGTTTAAACTTGATATTTTATATGGTTTATCAATTTGATCTTCTTTTTTTTAACGTAATAGATTAGATATTATTATTTGATGTGATTCACATAAAAGAAATGGGGTTATAATTATTGAGTAATCTAAAATTATCAGGTTCAGTTTTTTGGACAGGGTAAAGGAATGTGTATCGCTGGAAAGTTTTGAACTGTAACAACTCTAATGCTCGTGCACGAAATTCAGTGTTAAATTAATCAGTCAGTCAGCTACAATGTAGGATCAGGCACATATATGCATCGGTCCAAGTTGCTATACCTCATTAGCACAACAAAATGAACACCGAATTTATAGAAGTAGTTAATATAGTGGTGGTGATATACAAAAGAAAGATTGCATAGCAGGATATAGTATAGGAAGGAAGAAGGTTATGAAGCAATTTTCATCTCAAGGTTTGAGGGAAGATAAAGAGTGTATACATCTACGCCATCGTGATCGATTCTGAGCCATGTCAAACAGAGTCTCAAACCATTGGTTACGATAGTCATGCGAACCTCAACCAAGTAATCTGCATCTATCAACATGGCTCAGACTAGAAGTTAGTGACTCCAAGCTCTGATGCCACGTTTTGATTTGGCCACCCCTAACTCTCATCCAACCATCGCCAATACTAGTCAGCATAGCGCGTCGTGGTAATCGGTGTTCAGACAAACGTAACACGTGGCCCAACCATCTCAGTCGATGAAGATTCATGACCTCATCAACTGATTTACCATCATCCCCTAACACACTGTTTCTAACCTCACTATTACTTACCCGGTGATCCCATTAGATAGTTGGGTATAGTTGTGAAGAGACCTTAGACCTATTTTTCGTGCTAGTTCTCTCTGATCAGGGAAACATAAATATAACCTTAAAGAAACTGATGTTTACTATGAGATTTAATCCTGTGTCATAAAGCTTCATAGTTCTAAATTTAACTATCAAGCTATTCGGGATGTAACTTTTTGTAATATTGAAATATCTATATTGGCTGATAACTGAGCTACGATCAGCGACATAGTTGTCTTGTATTTTCATGTTAACTGACCATGAGTCTTAGCGATATATGAGTACATTTATTTAGCAAAAAATTCAAATACATTTGGAAGAAAAAAAATCAATGTTTTGTTTGATTACATACAAGTTTCTGGAACATCCTCTTCAAGGCAAATAAATTAAACATCGATTTAATCACTATCCTGATATGTAAGATAAGTGATAATGTAAAATGTGATAAACTTTGAAAACTCTAATTTAGCCAGTAATTGCATAGAAACAAATGTTTATAAGGATAATGAAAACATCAAACTGGTTTAACAGATAAAGTTTAGGCTTTATGTATGAGGAAGTAATGGTCTAATATTTTGAGACTTCCATGATGTACTGACAAATATATACTGGCTGATGAATGAAGAACACCAGAAACCTAATTTCGTTTTAGCAGTTATAAGTGCAAGAGAAAAGGCCCAAGTGAAAACAAAAGTATTTTATGTATCTAGCATAAACTAATTTTGACGTAAAAGCGCATATTGCTGATACAAATGGTGCAGTTTTTACTTAATCATATCACGAATGATGGCTCTTATCAAGTATCACGCAGCAGTCAGCAGCTAGAAATCGGAAGTATTATTGTACTAACTCAGTGGTCTAGAAGATAAGATGGTCAACATGAAACCTGAAGGCCCTGAATTGAAATCCTGATGCAAGTTGTGATTGTTCATTTCCGAAGGTTAAAATTGTCTAGTCAAATTTATTCCGTAGTGTAAAATACCTATTATAAAAATATAGATTATATACTTTGGTACAAGTTAGTTAATCTTCAAACAACTTTGTCGTTTATGAACAAAGATGGATAATAGCTAGCAATGGAATCCGGTTTGACACGCGTTTCGTTCTATTTGGAACTCGTCAGCTAGATATACCTGTATCACAGAGTTGATGCTCACTCTGAGATTCGAACCCAGTACCTTTCGCTTCAAACTCCATCGCGTTATCCACTTAGCTACTGATTCCTGATAGCCA